TGTATTCATTTTTTCAAATTTTCAAACGTTTTCCTTTTTTCTTTCCCATTTTTTTCTTATCCTTCCCTTTTTTCTCTATCAAGCTCTTTCAACAACCAAACAAAAACACACCTAAGATCTACCATCCTTTATTTGATTTCTTTGTGTTGTTTTTAAATTTTTTTCTTTTTTTTACTTTATTAATTCCTTTTCTTCCTTCAAAATGACACAACTCCAAAAGAAAGAACAGGAAGAAATGAGAGCCAGGGACTTAATCAACACAGATACAAGCAAGATGTTTGAACCAGAATTTAGAATCACAATAATAAGAATACTAGCTGGAGTTGAAAATAGATTATAATCCTTTTCTGCGGAGATAAAAGAAGTAAAAGCTAGTCAGGATCTAATAAAAAAATGCTATAACTGAGCTGCAATCGTGAATGGATGGCATGGTGGCAAGGACGCATGAGGCAGAGCAGCGAATCAGTGATAAAGAGAACAAACTTATGGAGAATAATGACGTAGAAAAAAAGGAGGCAGCTAAGGCAAAAGAGGACAAAATAAGAATTACAGAATTCAGTGACTCATTAAAAAGGTATAACATCAGGAGCACCTGGGTACCTCAGTGTTAAGGTTAAGCATCTGACTTCCACTCAGGTCATGACCTCACAATTCATGAGTTCAAGCCCCGCATCAGGCTTTGTGCTGACAGCTCAGAATCTAGAGGCTGCTTTGGATTCTGTGTCTCCCTCTCTCTCTGCCCCTCCCCCGCTCATGCTCTCACGCTCTCTCTGTCTCTCTCTCTCAAAAATAAACATTTAAAAAAAAAAAAAAAAAAGGAGTAACATCAGAATCCTAGGGGTCCTAAAAGACAAACAGAGAGAAAAAGGGAAATTTATGTGAGCAAATCATAGCGGAAAACTTTCCTAACCTGGGGGAAAGACACAGACATCAAAATCCAGGAAGCACAAAGAACTCCCATTAGATTCAACAAAAACTGACCACCAACAAGGCCTATCAAATTCACAAAATACTCAGGCAAGGAAACAATCATGAAAGCAGCAAGGGAAAAAGAAGTCCTTAACCTACAAGGGAAGACAGATCAGGTTCACAGCAGGCCTATCCACAGAAACTTGGCAGGCCAGAAAAGAGTGGCAGCCAAGAATTCTTTATCCAGCAAGGCTGTCATTCAAAATAGAAGGAGAGATAAAAAGTTTCCCAGGCAAACAAAAATTAAAGGAGTTCAACTACTAAACCAGCCCAGCAAGAAATTTTAAGGGGGACTCTCTGATGGGAGGAAAGATGAAACAAAACAAAACAGAACAAAACAAAAAACGACCAAAAGCAACAAAGACTAGAAAGGACCAGAGAATACCACCAGAAACTCCAACTCTACAGGCAACATAATGGCAATAAATTCATATCTTTCACTACTCACTCTAAACATCAATGGTCTAAATGCTCCAATCAAAAGACACAGGGCAACAGAATGGATAAGAAGACAAGATCCATCTATGTGCTGTTTACAAGAGACCCATTTTAGACAGATTGAAAATAAGGGGATGGAGAACCATCTATCATGCTAATGGTCACCAAAAGAAAGGTAGAGTAGCCATAATTATAACAGACAATCTAGATTTTAAAATAAAGACTGTAATAAGAAATGAAGAAAATCATTATATCATAATTAAGGGGTCTATCCACCAAGAAGACCTAACAATTGTAAACATTTATGTTCCAAACGTGTGAGCACCCAAATATATAAATCAATTAATCACAAAGTCATTGCCATAATAGCAGGGGACTTCAACACCCCACTTACAGCAATGGACAGATAATTTAAACAGAAAATCAACAAGGAAACAATGGCTTTGAATGACACACTAGACTGGATGGACTTAACAGATATATTCAGAATATTTCACCCTAAAGCAGAATACACATTTTTCTGAAGTGCACATGGAACATTCTCCAGAATAGATCACCCTCACAGAATAGATCACCCTCAACAAGTACAAAAAGAGCTGAGATCATACCATGCATATTTTCACACCACAATGCTATGAAATTTGAAATCAACCACAAGAAAAAATTTGGAAAGATAACAAATACTTGGAGACTAAAGAACATCCTACTAAAGAATGAATGGGCTAAGCAAGAAGTTAAAATAGAAATTAAAAAGTACATGGAAGCCAATGAAAATGATAACACCACAGCCCAAAACCTGTGGGATGCAGCAAAGATAGTCATAAGAGGGAAGAATATAGCATCCACGCCTTCCTAAGGAAGGAAGAAAGGTCTCAGATACACAACCTAACCTTACACCTCAAAGAGCTGGAAAAAGAACAGCAAATAAAACCCAAACCCAACACAAGACAGGAAATGCTATCGAACTCCCCCAAAAAACAGTAGAACAGATCAATGTAGCCAGGAGCTGGTTCTTTGAAAGAATTAACAAAATTGATAAACCCCTAGCCAGTTTGATCAAAAAGAAAAAGGAAAGGACCCAAATAAATAAAATCAAGAATGAAAGGGGAGAGATCACAACCAACACTGCAGAAATGCAAACATTAATACGAGAATATTATGAGCAATTATATGCCAATAAGATGGGCAATCTGGAAGAAATGGACAAATTCCTAGAAACATATAAACTACCAAAACTGAAACAGGCAGAAATAGAAAATCTGAACCAACCCATAACCACCAAAGAAATAGAATTAGTAATCAAAAATCTCCCAAAAAACAACAGTCCAGGGCCAGATGGCTTTCCAGGGGAATTCTACCAAACATTTAAAGAGTTAACACCTATTCTCTTGAAGCTGTTCCAAAAAATAGAAATGGAAGGAAAACTTCCAAACTCGTTCTATGAAGCCAGCATTACCTTGATTCCAAAACCAGACAAAGACTTCACTAAAAAGGAGAACTATAGACAAATTTCCCTGATGAACATGGATCAAAAATTCTCAACAAGACACTAGCCAACTGGATCCAACAATACAGTAAAGAATTATTCACCACAACCAAGTGGGATTTATACCTGGGATGCAGAGCTGGTTCAAGATCTGTAAAATAATCAATGTGATACATCACATCAATAAAAGAAAGGACAAGAACCACATGATCCTCTCAATAGATGCAGAGAAAGCATTTGACAAAATACAGCATCCTTTCTTGATAAAAACCCTCAAGAAAGTAGGGATAGAAGCATACCTTGAGATCATAAAAGCCGTATATGAAAGACCCAATGCTAATATCATCCTCCAATGGGAAAAACTGGGAGCTTTTCCCCTAAGGTCAGCAACAAGACAGGGATGTTCACTCTCACCACTGTTATTCAACATAGTATTGGAAGTCTTAGCCTCAGCAATCAGACAACACAAAGAAATAAAATGCATCCAAATCAGCCAGGAGAAGGTCAAACTTTCACTCTTCACAGATGACATGATACTCTATTTGGAAAACCCAAAAGATTCCACCAAAAAACTGCTGGAACTGATCCATGAATTCAGCAAAGTCGCAGGATATAAAATCAATGCACAGAAATCACTTGCATTCCTATACACCAATAATGAAGCAACAGAAAGAGAAATCATGGAATCAATCCCATTTACAATTGCACCAAAAACCATAAAATACCTAGGAATAAATCTAACCAAAGAGGTGAAAAATCTATACACTGAAAACTATAGAAAGCCTATGAAAGAAATTGAGGAACACACAAAAAAATGGAAAAACATTCCATGCTCCTGGATTGGAAGAACAAACATTGTTAAAATGTCAATACTACCCAAAGCAATCTACATATTCAATGCAATACCTATCAAAATAATACCAGCATTTTTCACAGAGCTAGAACAAATGATCCTAAAATTTGTATGGAACCAGAAAAGACCCCGAATAGCCAAAGCAATCTTGAAAAATAAAACTGAAGCTGGAGGCATCATAATTCCAGACTTCAAGACATATTACAAAGCTGTAATCATCAAGACAGTATGATACTAGCACAAAAACAGATCAATGCAATAGAATAGAGAACCCAGAAATGGACCCACAAAAGTATGGTCAACTAATCTTTGACAAAGCAGGAAAGAATATCCAATGGAATAGTCTCTTTAGCAAATGGTGCTGGGAAACTGGACAGTGACATACAGAAAAATGAACCTGGACCACTGTCATACACCATACACAAAAACAAACTCAAAATGGATGAAAGACCTAAATGTAAGACAGGAAACCATCAAAATCCTAGAGGGGAAAGCAAGGAAAAACCTCTTGGATCTCGGCCACAGCAACTTCATACTCAGTATGTCTCCAGAGGCAAGGGAAACAAAAGCAAAAATGAACTATTGGGATCTCATCAAGATAAAAAGCTTCCACACAGGGAAGGAAACAATCAGCAAAACTAAAAGGCAACCAATGCAATGGGAGAAGATATTTGCAAATGACATATCAAATAAAGGGTTAGTATCCAAAATCTACAAAGCACTTATCAAACTCAACAACCAAAAACCAAATCATCCAGTGAAGACATGGGCAAAAGACAAACTTCTCTACAGAAGACATCTAGATGGCCAACTGACACATGAAAAAATGCTCAACATCACTCATCATCAGGGAAATACAACTCAAAACCACAATGAGATACCACCTCACACCTGTCAGAATGGCTAACATTAACAACTCAGGCAACAACAGATGTTGGCGAGGATGTAGAGAAAGAGGATCTCTTTTGCACTGCTCGTGGGAATGCAAACTGGTCCAGCCACTCTGGAAAACAGTATGGAGGTTCCTCAAAAATTAAAATAGAACTACCCTATGACCCAGCAATTACACTACTAGGTATTTACCCAAGGGATACAGATATGCTGATTTGAAGGGGCACATTCGCCCCAATGTTTACAGCAGTAAACACTGGCTATTGACAATAGCCAAAGCATGGAAAGAGCTCAAATATCCATCAATGAGTGAATGGATAAAGAAGAAGCGGTAATATATGTGTATGCGCATGCGTGTGTG